ACAGTGGATGCTATATTACAGATCTCGAATGTCCGTCGAAATATCTTTGCATAAAATAATAGTAATTATATCGCGCGCGCGTACATGTGTTGCTTTGATTGCTTCGATTATTGTAGAAATTACGCGTATCGCAATCGAATATTATAAATATCGTCGGTTTATTTATTCGACACGTTTGCTCGCGAATTTTAAATCGCGATTTATTTTATAATTTAATCGTTGATTTATATCAAAGCTTTGTCTATCTTTTTGCGTCTTGAATATTTTCTTTGAAAGTCTGCGCAAATGCGCTAGTAGTTCAAATTCTTTTTCTTCTATAATTAAAAGATGATTAATAACTTTATTAACGACTCTTTTGGTCGCGATTATTTACATTATATAAAATTAATGATAAAAGCTCTATAATTGTATGTCAATTATTAATAATAAATATTGCATATTAAATCGTTACCAAAAAGCCTTGCCTATTCTAAAAATTTTTAATAAATCTTTTATTATGCGCATATTTTGGTCATTTTCGTGTAATATCATGTAATAAATTATTTTGTATTAAATTTTAGATTATATTTTGTATTATATTTTGTATATATTAATTATATATCTTGTATATTAAATTTATTGTATCATTTTATCTATATTAGAATAAAAATAAAAATAAAATAAACCCTAACCCTGTGAAATGAAAAAGAGGAAGACTGTCCTCACACATTTTTCCTCCTCGATGGTATCTCCACCTTAACGAAGGCATTTGCCAGGTGAGGAGGTTTGAGTACTCTAATGAACCTGAGAGCTATGCCGGCGGTAACGTACAGCATTTTCAAATGAAGCAAGTTTGATAGTTTTGAGATCGACTAATGACTTCATATACTCCATTTTGTATTATTAGAGGTATTTAAATTATTAGATTAATTAATAAAATACTTCGAGTAAGCGTTTAATGTTTAATCAGGGCAAAAAATGTTATGCTTTGAAGCAAATAGCGTCAAGAACGGGGCATGAACTTTATATTATTTATGTTATTAATGTATTATATATTTATATTAAGCAAATTCTCTTGAAACCTACAAGGCAACATACACTACTTTTTGGTTGAATATATATTTATGGCAAATTAAATTTAATCGCTCTCAAAGCTATCAAATCTGCTTCACTCGAAAATGCTAATAGTTACCGGTAGGGTCACCCATGCATTTTGAAATAAAATGGAAGCAAAAGAGATAGTAATCGAGAGAATAGAGAGAAAAAGGAGCTCCAAAATATTTTCATACTTCTTTTGGGACTTAGAAATATCTTGATATGTGATATGATATACAAAAAATCGATTTCTGAGAAACAGAAGTCTATTCTACTATAATTTTTCTATAATTTTGTAATCTTTTATTTTTTGCAGAGTTTTAATCATTAGCAGCATTAATTAATTTTTTCACGTTTATATGATCGCCCGGTAATAGATATACTATCAGGTTTTCGCAAGATATTGTACGAAAAATTGAGATATCTTTTGCAATATTGGTTGGAGCGTAAAAATTAAAAGTTTCTTTTATATTTCGTGACGTGCTATGCAGGACTCTAATTAAAAAACCGGAAATGCGAAAAAATCTACTTATTCTAATACTTGCATGTGTCTTTATAAAAATTATAATTTTCGAAACGTGGAGAGATATTCTATTATAATTATTATATTTTCCTATAGTTTAAAACGTGTTCTTTCGAATCCATGAAGTTTTAATCATTAACAGCGTTAATTAATTTTTGACACACACACACATTTATAAAATTACTTACATATTAATTAATCAAAATTATACACACATACTTAATATTTGAACTGTCAAATACGCAGCTCAGCTAGGCTTTTATTGATATGAAATAATGCACAGCGCAGTGTCGAGATAACTAATCAGTATCGCGGAAAAGAAGCAATAATACTTGTGAATATCGATTTAACATGTCTTTTTTAAGAGTGGATTTTATCTCACATTTTTAAATCGTTTGAGCGCAAATAAGTTAAAGATATCTCAATTGTATCACAATTGCGTATCATGTATACTTATTCGATCGATATGACAAACATTTTTAAAATTAAACAACATTGTTTTAACAATTACTTTTATAAATTATTTAAAGCCTATTTATAAATCATTTTTTTTAATAATATTAAGTAACAATATCAATTTTTTAAATCTTGTTTGACGTGCAGAAGATAAAGATATGACAAGAGAAATCGATTTATTTGAAAAGAAACATATGATTTTATTTGAAAAGAGATGTAATTGCAGATATGTTTACGGAAAAAGTAATATTAGAAAAAATCAAACATTATTGGCTTTCACTTCTTGTCAGTGAGAACAGATATGCACAATCGTTAAAATGGCGATTTTACTGACAGTATCAGAAAACGGAGGATCTGTAGCTACGAAGTTCCAGCTGTAAAATGAATGGAGATGGCGTACAAAACAGGGGTTCGCATACGTTCCACGAAAACATCGATATGGCTGTTGTCATGTTGTTATGCTTTGACAGCGTTTGTGTTGATCGTCCCAGCTCTGTGTTCCTGATATTAGCACTGATTGCAATAGCAACGGAATATATTAATTGCAATACGAATCACGTGTGCTACTTATAATGGTGCAACTTAATAGTGGCAAACTTGAGCGATGAAGGCATCATGGATAGCACATAAAAATGGAATAAGAATGAGTGGACTCCAAAATTAATCAGAGTTGAAATCGTTTCCGCTATATTTGCGGCTTATATACAATACGGCAGTTACTGATAAGAGCCAACCGTTGGGCTGTATATCTCATCGTTATCAGTAATAAACATATTATATAACAATGATAATTATCAGCTGAGAACGGGTGATTGTTGAAGACAAGTAAGTTTTCGCAGAGTCGTCTCGTACCGGTTTTTTTTTTTTTTTTATATTTATGTCGTTTACAATGTCTTTCATTCATACTCCGATATCTTATTTTGTTTTCTGCGAGCTATTTTATTTTAATTCAAGATTTGCCGAACTGCTATCCATCTTCAAACTCGGCTCGCTTTTCTCTTTCACTGCTCTAAAAAATTTCGCGTTGTCCTCTTCTACATTGCCGTAAATATTTTAATTCATTAATAAAATATTTTAATTCCTTTTTTTCTTGATATTTTCTTTCTTTTCGTTTTAAACTCTATTAATTGCAATTCTATTAATTGCAATTCAATTAATGGAATCAATCTTATTAATCTTATTTTGTTTTAATCGTGCCTATCATATGCTAATTTTTATTTATAGCACGATCGTTTTTCATTTTATGTTATTCATTGCAAGGATTTTTTCTTGGAGAATCGTATCAATCGAGACGTATCAATTAAATAGATTTTCTTTCGTTGTGATAAGCGCTAATATAAGCGCCTGTGGGTGCGCACACATGTTGGCGTTCGCATACGAAAGAAAGCTGTATGTCAGGGGCCGAATTATGGATATGTAATTAAAAAACGAGAACGAAAAAACTAGTCGCTCTCTTAAAATGTGATTCATCTGTTTGCTTTAAGGATACGTCTGAATAAAAATGGTCGCCGAATCTCTACGGATGAATTATCTCTGATCAATGCCTCCGGTTCATATTTTATTTTGACCTCACGCGAGGAACTCGAATAATAATTATTTCAGCTAAGGAAGATAAGTGCCAACGTGCTGTAATAAATTTTCATTCATTGACGAAAGGTAGTTCAATGTCTTCGGATAAGAACAGTTACGGATAATTATAGATATCGCGATAACAAAACGAAAGCCTGTTATTTAGAAAATAATCCATTTAGACTTTATTAATATGTGTTTAGATGGAAATGGTCGCCGAATCTCGCGCTGAATAAAATTAATATTAAAGCTTGTTACTCTCTCAAAAATATAGCTACTGCTAAGGAATCGGTACATCCGTTTAACGAAACTTTCTTTCGTCGGTGAGTGCCAACGTGTGCGCCTGTAGATGTGTGCGTACACGTTGGCACTCAGGAGCGAAAGGAAGATCTATGCTGGAGCTGAAATAATTACAAACAATAGGATACCAAATAATGAAACAGAAAGACTGTATTTTTAAGATATAATGCTTTAAGAATTAATTGCAAATTAAAAGCAATGTCAATTAGAACGAATCTAGTTCACGTAACTTATGTAAATATTAAATAATTCTACCTCAAAAGATTTTACATCTCGAAATGTGTAATAATCTTGCAGATAATAGATTACAACAAGAAAAGAAATATTCTATCAAAAATATCGCTGAATTTGTAAAGATTATTGCAATTTTAATTAAATATATTAAAGATATTGCGTTATAAATATATATATATATAATAATATAAATATAAAAATATTATAATAGCCATATATAATAGCCATAAAATAAAAATATTTTTTCGGAAAGAAATCTCTCTTATTTGTTTATTTAAAATTTATTCACCCACAATATTTCTTTTCAAATAATACTATAATAATTTATTAATAATTTCAAAAATATTGACAAGATCGAACGGGAAATTTTATCAAGATATGCTACGCCCGCGCTATTACAAAAACATCTAATTGTATATTTTCTAATATTATATACATATAATTATAAATATATTTAAATAATTAAATATTTCACATAACAGCTTAATATTGATGAAATTTTCCGATTTTAGTCACGTCAATATTTATATACTATTTCTACGATGATATATATATCTCTAAAACATAAAGATATCATTTACCATTTATATATGCTATTGCGTTATTACTTCTTGCTCCGTCGCGAGATGGCGGGAGTCATTTCAATTTGGGATGCTATGCGTCAAACTTCACTACGCATCGTGAGCCCGAGCGTTCTCCTTCTTTCCTACCCTCGCCATTTCCACCAACCGTCACGCAGTCACGCCGCGGCGCGTGCGCGACGGAGCATGGAGTGGGGAGAGTGTTTGGCGGCGCGGTTTGTTTAGTTGCACGCTGACAGCGGCCGCGGTTGAATGCTATAGGCGTGCGTGTCCGCGTTTTCACGGAAGCGCCGCGCTACCGGCGTCGTCGATCGCTCACATCGCGACACATTGTCCGTCCGTCGCGACGTCGCCTTCTCGCGTTACGTTACACTACGTTCTCCCTCGGGTCTCGCCGGGAAAGAGAGTGCGTAGATATCTCCATCTCGCTCCCCCTTCCCCCGATCCCTATCTATCCCATATAATCGTTCGTGTATCGCTACTTTGCTGTTTTTGTCGCCTCTTGTCGCCCTCCCCCCGTCTCTATCCCGTGTGTTTGTGCGATTTTGTTGATCGTCTCATCATCAGCGTCTTGTGCTCCCATCGTCATCGTCACCATCATCATCGTCGCCAACATCACGCTGCACCCACGCTGCAACGCGACATGTTCACGATGGACGGGTGATGTCGCAGAGCGCAGAGGATGTCACGTCGCAAGCAGAGCAACCCCAAGCCGCTGAAACGTGAGTTTGTGCTTTCTTTTTCCCGGCTTTTTCTCGCGTGCTTGTTCTTCCGGTGACACGTGTCTCTCTGGTGCATATATGTGTTTGTGTGTGTGTGTGTATGCGCGTGCTACGCGGGGGGAGGGGTATCGCGTGCGCTATGGGTCCCGCGCTTTTCAAGCGAGCTTTTTTTTCCCGCGTCGCGATAGTTAAACGAAAGTATTAGATCGCCGCCATGTTTGTTATTGCATATTTGAATTTGGCCGTTACACGGGATTTCGTGAAGTTAGCACACAAGAGAGTCAGTTGTTTCAATGACGAGTTCTGCTGAAATTTAGTCGTAAGTCGATTCGAATATCGTCTCCTTCATGATTCTTATCTCGGAAAGAGAAATATCGCGATTGAGAGAACTGATATTCGGCAGTTAAGGAGGAATGTATCGAATATCGTGGCGAGTACCAAGTACTTTCATAACTTTTGAAAGGTATGTATGTCAAATTCGGGAACATTATTGAAAATTAGTACGATTATTCGGGTAGTTATAAAGTACAAAGCATATTTAAATTATGAAATCAAATAGTTATTTAAGAAAGATATTTTCATACAATATTGCAGGTAATTAATAGAAACTTATTACCTTTTATTATTCTTTACTTAGTTTCAAATAAATTTTGACAATGTCAATTATTTGTTCGACAATGTAATTAAAAAATGCAATTAATTTGAAAAAAAAACTTGTTTATAAAGTTTGATAGAAAATGTACGAAAATTTCGAGCTATTATTATGAATATAGCGAGAAATGCGCTTGAAATTTTGTGATCAATTTGAAAAAAATCTCATTTCACGTTGATATAAGCGATAAATTCCAAGAATAAATCAATGACCCCGAATAAATTAATTCGCGACATCGCTGAAGGAGAACGAGTTCTCGACAAAACGGTGCCTCCGTTTATCTTTTAAAATATTGAACAGATAAAAAATTAGATGGAAAATTAAATTAGTACATAATTGTTTTGGAAATGGACTATAAGTTTGAAGGAAAATCAAATTAATTTGTTATTATTTGTCAATTAATTTTCTTAATTAATTTTTATCACCTAATTTTTGGTATTTTAAATTTTGGAGCTTATTAATTTTCTTGCTACTTTATTATAGTGAAAGATACAATTTATTTACTTTAAACTTATAGAATTTATTATATAGTTATACGAATTGTATTAGTAAAAGAGAAAATTGTGTTGGGAGATTTATACCGTTAAAAAATTTCCATATATCAAAATAATCAACGCATATAAATTAGTATAAATATACAATAGAATGACATTAGTACTTTTAAGATAATATTGATGATTATGATCATTTTTACTGCACTCAGAGGTTTTTTCTAAAAATGTTAGGGGATTTTCAGTAAATTTTTATTGATTAATTCTCTCATGAAAAAATTATTAATTCACTTTATTAATAAATATCGATTATGTTGAAAC